GAGAGCTCGGGCGCCTCGCGGAGCTGGCGCCAAGCGAGGGGCTCTGAGGCGCTCCTGAGCGCGCGGAAAATAACCGCGTGGGAGCGTCGTCGTGGTGCGGTAAAACCTGCCTCGCACCTGTGTTGGTAGCAAAGTAAAACAGTCTGTGCGCGCAGTGACCCCCTGAGAGATGGGCGCGGAGCTGCAAATGAAGCTTTGGTTCTGCTGACATTTGCTAAATGCACTAGTATCTACTATTTTTTTTCTCTCCACAATGATAGCAAAATACTTTTTTTTTTCCTCTCCTTTGTGGGAGCACGTGCAGTCACACACACACATGCAAGTTTTGGCATGGGTAGTGCAAGCCCTATAGGCATTCTCGGCTTTCCGCTTGTGAAAAGGGGGCTAAATCACATTCAGGACAGTTTGGGGAGGCGGGGCTTCTCTAATACACATGCAGTGAATTAAAAAAGTGTTAGCACTTTTGTATTTTTGAGATCAGACATGCAAGGGTAGCTTCAAATTGGTTTTGGAGCAACAAGACTTTGTCTTGAGATTTTCTGTTTATTGCAGCTGACTTTAATACACTTTTACTGGTAAAACACTGCATTTCTACATGACTCCCATATCCTGGTATTTCCTCTGGGTTGCAGGTGTATCATGTATTACCTATATTTAACAGTGTCTATCAAAAACGTGCCTGCTAGGAATGTTAAAGCTGCAGAGTGCAAGGAAGGAAGCTGCTAATCCATGGTCTCCTCTTAGGCTGAGCCATGATTCGGGAAGCAGGCTAGTAAAAAGTCATATCTCATTAAGCTTGCTTAGTAATGCTGGCGGATTTGGAGTTTTGTGATTTTAAGTTAAATGATAGGTGTATTTTAATCACTCAATCTGTGGCTTACTATCTGGGTTTTCATTCTAGACATATTTCATGATTTAATGAAAACACTTTCTTTCAGAGGGGAATATGATGCATATTTGATTCCCTTTTTTTAACATTAATTATCACTTGATAGAAATTGTGAATAGTCAACAAGTTCCATTAAATCAGTGGAAGATTTTTACCTGAAGAACATTAGACTGCCTCTGAGCCTGATCCTTAGCTCAAAAATTGGCTGAAATTTTCAGGGGATGCTTTCTTAGGGACATGAATCTTACTGTGTCTTTGCAGTGAAACCTGTAATAGCCTGTTCAGTTAGACATACATTTCTTTACTCAATAAAATTATATTAAATAATTGTTAGTGCTCCTGTTTTCTTCTTTAACGTTTCCAACATCTTTACATTTCACTACTAACTGTATCACTAAATTTCCTTAAGTATACTCTTTCAAATTTGGAAGCCAAGAAATGTCTCTTAACCATATTCCCTTAAAAATAAGTAACTAGAAGTATAGTAAATATTAATGGACAGTCCCAATAAAGCCTAACAGAAATCTGATTAGCCATTAAATGTGAGCTCTGAGAGCTCCCATTGAAATTGCATGAAGATGTTTGGTTGATGGCTACTGGCCTTAAATACTATGCTCATGATTCTTCTAATTACTCCTGGGCAATACAACAGATAACAGTCTGGCCCTTAATTCATCCTGGGTTTAAAAAGTTACAGTACATGAACACACAGAAGTGTATCAAAATGCATTTTTAGTTCATTGACCCCTGAAGAAGCGACAGCTGTTGGGAACATGTTAGTGCTCCTTCTCTTTGAATCTTTGTATGTGTATCTGTACAGAATATTTGTTACAGGTCACAAGCACAAGTGCCATCGATTATTTATGCCTTATGTTCCGATATACCTGTTTACAACACTGGGGAAAATTTGGCTATTTATGATAAGTGGCCTAAAGTGAGCTGAATTATAGTGCTAAAAAGTCTTTAGGCATTCTGGAGAGTTTACTTCAGTGGAGATGTGCACGAGTGAAAGCTGAAAACCAAGCTGGATTGATCTAGCAAAATACTTAAGCATGTCCTCAACTGCATGAATTTGAGTGGTGTTCTTTGTTTCAGTGAGACTATTTTGCTTGAATTTTCTTATATTTGTAAGCAGGGTTCTGGAATGGGCCCAAAACCAGACATAACTTGAAAGAATTTCACTATATTGACATAGGTAAAAACTTTTTCTTGTTGTTAATTAAAAAGTAGCTGCTAGGTTGTTGTGCCTTAAATTTGGAGTCCTTTGCAGGAGAAGGCAAAATGTGGCTTCTCTGTTGGTTCTTACTTTGTGAATTAAACTGGAAACCAAGTGTATTTCTAATCATAGATTTATCAAGGCCTTCCATACACTAAGGACATTTTACCAATTTACCTTGATTCAAGTTCTTAGGTTTGTCAATCTAAAATGCTAATTTCATCTGGTTGTAGCACATTTTATAGCTATGTTATCAGTGAATTCTCATTACGTTTGAAACTTGAAAGCTGATAAACTGTTATTTTGAATTTAATGTTAATAAGGCTTCAGAGTGGACCTCTTAAATCATCTTTACCATTTGTGAAGCAGGGAACAGAGGTGCCCATGGGGCTACTCTGTCAGCATGCCAAAATAAAGCCAAAGGATATTGGTAAGGAGAGGACTTTTCTTGGGGGTGGTGAGTGAGGGAGGAGGAGTATTTTGAGTAACAAGTCTATTAAACGTCATTTGAGTCCTTGACCAGGACAAATTTGCAAAGTTAATCTTGCAACAACGGTGACTTCTGTCAACTTTTTGCAAAATTCTCTGGAAAATATTTTTGGCAGTAATGCTGGGTACTGCAACCAGAGTGCATCCAGTTTTGTACTGATTTTTAAAAAGGCTTTAAAACATCTGTCTGTGCAGGTAGAAGTCCTACTAAAATCATGGACTTAAGTTATTCCTCATCCCAACTCAGTTGAGCTCTTTGTATGGAATTTGTTATGAAAATGAGAATAAATGGAGAACAGAGGATAGGCTAGCATGCCTTTTTTATGCCTTCCATGTTACAGACCTCTGTTACGACTTCCCTAACCAAACTAACTCACCAATGTAAGTGAAGAAATACTCTGGTCTAGTAAGTTGCTAGTTGCTTTCGATTAGCCATTTATCCAAATATCTACACTAGCATAATGGACACGGATATCTACATTTTGGTACAGTCTGTTGGCTGTGAGCTAGGTCTGTTTTAAGACTATTTAGCAAGCTGTAGCAATTTAGCAAGCAAATTAGAACAATAGTGTTTAGATAGGAATATGTAGGTGCAACCGGTAGTGATTTTGATGATTTATTACACAAAATTTTTACCCCTTAATGTAATCTGAAGAGCCAATTTCATCTGAAGGGCCTAGTGTAGGTTTAACAGATCCCTTGACAGATGCAAAAGCAACCATGTTTGTTGTCTAAAAAGCCTATTTTTTGTAGTTAACCATATTTTTATATAAACTACCTATGGAATTTACTGGATGTTTGACATGCTAGTTATGCAGCCTGGATAATCATGCTCTGTGTGCTGGTAAGACAGTCCTGAACGTTTTCAGAGACACTTACTGGTTTGGGATATACTAACCCATAATCTTTTAGTTTTGTATTGAATGAAGTTTATGGGTCATTTTATGCTGCTAGTTTTTGGTAGCTGTGTTAATTATATGCTACAAAACTGCAGGAACAGAGGAAGAGAGGGGGGGAGTGAGACCTGGCTGCAGCGAGCATTTTTATCAGATCAGTCTTACGTAATTTCCTGATGGGTAAGGTTCCTGTAATGGTGACTTCCAGGAGGTAAAAATGAGCCAGATTTACATTCTAACTGAGTTTAAATCTCTGAAATCTAATGTATATGTCATGAAATGCAGGGGGGTGAGACTTCATTTTTATGTATTTCTCCTTCATCTCAATGAACGAAGAGCATAGCTTGGCTATCCCATCTTGTTGCAGAGAAAATGGATGTGTCTGGGGCAGATTTAAGGTTTGAAGAGATGGCACAAGGTGGCAAGAGTCAGTGGAGCTATTCTAGCCTAGAGCTAGCAGGGATGCACTTTCATTGGAAATGGGCATGAGCATGGTTTTATTCCTAGAGGATGAGGCTGAATTCCCCATTTTCTCACATTAGGAGAGTTAACTTGACGTAAGTCTTTCATATTAGCTGCCTAATTAAGGCATCCATATAGCCATGATTCAATGCTCCAGGAATTTGCTCAAGATTTTGTCTCTTGTGGGCTCGTCTGCTCATACCTTAAATTTGGACCTATTGAATGTGGGCCTATTGTGGATTGTGGAGGTTTATGCAGGGTAGCTAAGACTGAAGGAAGAAAAAAACAAAAAGCGGGAGAAATGTTTTAGTTTAGGGAGATGTTTTAGTAAGTTTGTTTTAACTTATACAAGTTCTGTCTGTTGGCTAACTGCTTGGCCACAGGAGTGCCTGTGCCAGCACCAGGAGACCTTATACCAAGAGAAGGAGCAAAGGGGGAAAGTAGGGCGTGACTCTTTTAAGCCAACAGAGATGCTGATAGTGGCCCAAGTGTAGCTGGGCTACCAGGAAATAAGCTAAATGGGACATTTAGAAGATGTTCCAGGGTAACAGCCCTATCTAGAGAGTTGTAAAATGGCTCATTCATCTCAGTGAATGAATGTGCTTTAGAGGTGAATGGAACTGCTGATACAGCTCAGAGTTTGCCTGCCCCACCTCAGCATTTTCAGTATCCCACTTGTGAACTGGTGGGGAGACAAAGCGCTTTGGCACCACATTAACCTGAAAGGCAACCAGGTAATAATGCAGATACTGGGGGGTGGGCAGGGGAGAAGAAGAGCAAAGGTCTCTGTTTTTCATGGCATTAAGGCTTGTTGCTATTGCTTTTCTTTGCTTCATGTTGGATTTGATTTCTAGCCTGCATCCTTTCCATGATGCAAATTATGTTACATTGCCTGGAGCAGTTGCATGGAAACAACTTGGTTTTGACCTGACTCCTGAGAAAGCAGCATATTGTAGATGTATAGTCTAAAATAGCCCCCTTCTACACCCTTTCAATCTTAACATAATGCTCTTACATGTAACCACTTAGCGCCCATCAGTGCCTCAAGTTCCACTTAACTTGCCTGTGAGTGTGCCTAGACTAAATACCAGGTGTCTGATACTCAGTTTAAAGCTGTGATCAGAGCAAAGCCATAGCACAAGCTCAAATAACCCAGGGTGAGTTGAATTTAGTAAATGCTGTTTTTGAAAGGATTTATTTTTTTCCTGAGAAATCCCTTCTCCAGTGACACTTGATTTGGTCCAATGTCAGTACCTCAGCAGATGCTGTCAAAAGAAGGCACCAAAAGAAGGCACCAATTCTGAATGTGTATCATTGCTTAGAGACAAAGGAACATAGAAGAGTAATGCTGAATCATAGCTACAATTTTGCAATGAAGAAAGGTTGTCTTGATGCCACTTTACCTAAGCATCCTATGCATTAAATAATTTTTTATCTGTATAAATGGCAGCAGCATATAGAAGATAAAGAAGATAAAACCATATACTTGACATCTCTTATCACTATTAAAAAATAAACGTGAACAGCAGAAAAAAGGCGATAGCTTTCTGATTGATAACCAAAGAAGCGAGCTGTGCTTTCAAGCTGCAAAGCAGCAAAGAAACAGAGATCCCCACACAAAGTTTGTAATCAGGTAAATCCTGCTGTCTGAAAAATGCAGGTCTGTTTCTGAGAAAAAAATGTATTGCTTAGAAAGTAATTTTTGCTTTACTTTTTCCTATCAGTTCTTGCTTTATGGCTATATCTTAATGTTGATATTGAACAGGGTCCAATTTTGACATTTATTTTGTGATCTGTAACAATTTGCCCTGTTCTACTAAGAATTTAGATAGTCCTTTTCCTCAATATTTTTGTGAACTACTTAAAGTCTACATGATAGCAACAGTGTACTAGTTATGAATTCATACATGATGAAGATTGTTAGGTAGAAACAGTTCTTGCCTGAATAACTGCATTTAGAAACAGATGCATATGGGAAGATCTGATTATTTTAATGACTAAACCAATTTTTTTTTTGAGGCCTATCTAAAAAAAACTAAGTTAAATTTGTATTAAATTAAACTATTTGGATGTATTACAGTGAGTTGGGTAGGATCACAAATTCTTCTCATGCACAGAATGATTTTAGAGCTGTGGGAATGCTAAGCTCATCATTTGGCACAACACATTCTAGACTAAGCTGTAAGGAATGGACAGATCCCTTACACTCCTACCAAGGTCTGCAGTTCTGTATGCATAACAGATATGACTTCAAGGACGTATCTTTGAAACAACTCATTGCAAAGAGAGAGGAAAAAAAAATAAACCAATGCAGGTCTTAGTATTACAAGCCAAAGAATTTGTGTACTGTGAAACCACTGTGAATTGTGAAAAGCGGTAGATAAACATAAACTCTAACAATCCTAACTTTGCTCACTGTAAATGGACGAAACATTATGATCTGCTAGGAACCTTTCTCTATCTTAGAATTGTTTTCAAATGGCAGTCAAATACCAGATAAAATATACCTTTGTGGAAACTATTTACCATAAAGTCTCTCATTAAAGTTGAACAAATAACTAAGCCATAGACTAAGAAACAAAGCACCCAATCTAGCAAAACATTTTTGTGTCTGAAGTGGAATATAAGATATAAGTGGAATTTGGGCCTCTGTGTGAAAAATGTAGTGCAAACAGTTTGGCAGCTGCTGAAGGCAAGACTTCACTACTTGACTTAGTGGTGCTTTTGTACATGCCCAGAACTGACCTAGGTTTGGCAGGGGTGTGCAGATCTATGCCTGAACATGCCTGGGATCCAGAAATGAGTTGTTCTATTGCTTGAATCCACTGAAAGGAAGACCTAGGAAATGAATACCCTGCAGACAGGATATAAAGTACTTACACAATCACAAAGTGCAGTAGTGGTCAGTCAGATTTTGCATTAGGGCTCAGGTTTTGCACTCCTGCAGAGTTTCTGTACTTCAGTACATAAAATAGCTCTGGACGAGCCAGAGTCCTTGGAACTGGGACCAGAACCTCTATCTGCCCCTTTTAGGTGGGCCTCAACCTCTTGTACTTTTCTCCGGGGATCAGTGACTGCAGCTCACAGTGGCAGCCTATCAGGAGGCTGGTGGAGATGCATCCCCACCCTACAGACTGGTGGTCAGACCAGGAGGAGGGTAAATACTGAGAAAGGAGTTGGCTGCTTTTCCCCTCAAGGCCTGCCTAGCCAAAGAGAAATCCCGTTATCCCTTTAACTGTTTGGTTGATTGCACAGGACTGCCTTGATAGGATGGTTACAGTAAGGTGATTTGAAATGTCGGGTTGAAGTTTTAAGTGTATGTGTTTTCTTTGATCAATTAAACTGACACTTCCTTTCAATGAAGCCTGCTAATTATGGTAGTGGGTAAAGCAAGGTGTGTAGGGGAAGACTATCTTTTATTAATTTGCTATCACTGCGGAAAGCTGACTGTCAAGAAATATGATGGAAATTCATACTTTGCGTTAATTTAAATGACTAATGGTGAATATATAAAAGGGGAGCAACCAGATACTCATATGAGTGACCCACATTCACAAAGAAGTTACTTCATTTCCTACTGTCTAAGAATCTCTCTGCATGCTAGTTTGGTAGAAAGTTCAGTAAACCAACCTGTTGTACGGCTGATGGATCACCATACAGCTGTGATCTGCTGAGGTCTTGCATTTCTTCCTGCTTACAAAGCCTTTCTAGCAGTAACTTTTTGCCTTCGGTTACTGTATGCACTTTCTCTGTTAATAGTCTTTGAACCTGGAATATGGTATTTTCAGAAGCACTTTTCTTGAGTGGAACAGGTGACATTTCTGTGGACAAAAGCAAAGTACGTTGTTAGAGTGCACAAGTCAATGAACTGCTGACTGAAAATCAAGCATACGCTAGATTTCCCTAATGCTGCCTTTCTATTAGGTCTGGTGTTGTGTAATGGGGTCATTGCATAATGGCTGTTAGGAATGAAGTATAACTTTTCCTAAACACTGCTCATGCTGACCTATCTATTAATCTTTAGCTTTGCTTCACTACAGCATTTTTATACTTTCATTTTTTGTCAAATAGATATCTATTTGTTTCGTGTTAGTCCTATTAGTAGAGTTTGTGATTATGTGCCGAGCAGGTCAAATTCGAAAATGTGCTTAAGATTTGTTTGTGTTCACAGAATGGTTGAGGTTGGACTTCTGGAGATAACCTAGTCCAACTCCCCCACCCAACCACGGTCACCTAGAGAGTGTTGCCCAGGACCGTGTCCAGGCAGCTTCTCAGTATCTCCAGGGATGGAGACTCTACTCCTTCTCTTGGCAACCTGTTTTAGTGCCTGTTACTCTTAATAGTAAAGAATCTTTTGCCTTGTGCTCAGTTAGAACTTCATGTGTTTCACTTTGTGCCTGTTGTCTCTTGTCCTATCACTGAGCCCCACTGAAAGGAGTCCCGCACCAACCTCTTTCATATGTCTGTAGTCAAGACATCATTTCATTATTAAAAATGAGAGGAAACCTTCTGAAAGTTGACCTTGTCATCCCTCCCTTTGTGACTTGGGCATGACAGTTCTGCCAGGAAGAAAAGCAGCTGCTGACCTTTCCTATATCGAGTTGCATACCACGGTTTCTGCATACCATGTATTCCATTTCTATCTCAGAGATCTTGTAGCATATTGTCTCTTTGGCAGCAACTGTCTTACCCTTTTTTTTTCCCTCTCTCTCTTGTGCTCGTCATTTTTCTTTGCATTTACTGACACGTTTTCCTGATGTTTTCCTCATTTTTAGGGATAAGGATTGAAATAAATTAAAGTTTTCTATCAGGCCTGCATTTTGATCAGGAGCTTTCTTTCAGGGATTGTTGAGAGTGAGAAAAGAATGTTAATTTGGGGACTAATGAAAGAGGATTTTTTAAAAACTATTTCAGTGCTTGAAACTAGTATCAGGCATTCAGTTCTGTGTCAGGGTAGGGGTACTTTAAGTTAGGCAGAAGGGGTCTTACCATCATTCCATGTTTTTCTCTTGACACCCAGTGATCCTGTGTTTGACGTAACATCTCCCACTGAACCTTAGAAGAGAAAAGCAAGGTGACTAGATATTTTGCAAAGAGCTTCTAAAAACACAATCAGTCGCAAATCGAAAAGCTTTATACTACAAAAGGAGATGTACTGAGACAGGAACTTAGAGCAGTAAGAATCTTGTGGACAAATTAGGTGTTGGTTTAGGACCCAGAGGCAGGATGGAGGCACAACTTTAAGCAGTTTAATAATTACAGCTTTGTTTGTTGTTTTTGTTTTTCCTAGAGCTTATTGTTTTTCCTGCACCAGCATTTGCAGCACAAACAGGTTACACAGCCCTCTCCTATCATGCTGAAATGTAAAGCAATCAGCTTAAGTACTCTTGCAGTTGACAAATTCAATTCATGGAAGGTAGAAATAGTAGCATCTCCAGTTTCCTGAATTGGAAAAAAAAAAGTGAGGCTTAATAGTCATCTATCACAATCACATAAATGTCACTGCCCTGTTTTATTTATCTATTTTTTTCTCTCTCCAGGCTGCACTTTCATCACTTGTATAACCAGACACTTTGGGTAGCCCATTTCACCACATCTCACTTAAATTTACACAAAAATTCTCCAAGAATCTCATTGAATGGTTCAAATGTTTTCATTTTTGTTAAATTTCTCACTCTAAATTTCTCCAAAGGCCATTTCTGTTCTGCGAATATTGCCTGCTTGCCCATGACTGCTTGCCTTTTCTTAGTCATTCCGAGCACTTATCTCACCTCTGTAGCACAGGTCAACAGGCAAATTCAACCTTTATTTTAAAATCTATAACTCATTTCTGACGTTTTCAGTACCTGATAGGAGGCTGGAACTTTCACGCCTCCAGGCTGATGGGCCTAGAGGCTGTCTTCTTAAGATGCAGTCAACTTCATCGTAAAACCTCATTTTTCTCCTGGGATTACCATGATGCTCATTTTCTTTCTGCAGTGCTCGGTATTCGTATTTTAAGTTCTTGTACTTTGTGCGACATTGTTTCCAGTCTCTGTCTATTCCACGTTTCATTAACCTTCTGGCAATTTCCTCAAATATTTCTTTATTTCGTGTGGCTCCTTCAAGCATTTGCTGTATCTTTTCATCTGACCATATGTTTATCAGAGCTTTGACTTCATTATCACTCCAGTGTTTTCCTGCTCCAGTATCATTAACAGTAATAACTTTAAAGTGATTTTGTGCTTCATCCAAGGGAATTTGATTATCTGAAAATAAAAATGAAACAGTTACTGAGTATTGCTGAATACCTAGAGAAAAAAAGTAGCTAATGTTTCAGTAGCGAGTTGGAAGATTAAACTTTGCAATGTGAATACTCATTTGCAGTCACATTTCATTTAAGTATGCCAAATATATAGCAGATTAAATCTCTTGTTTCTTAAAGCCATCTAAAAGTCCAGATCTTTGTCAGGCTAATTTTGTTACTGATTCTAAAATGGATGTATCATTGTGTTGCACACCCAAAAGTAATAGCCTGTAAGCTTTGAAAGCAACAATGCATCTGCAATGATAAGAAAATGGTTTTCCACAATATTGCTTCAAACTAGACGGAAAAGGAAAAGTAATAGCCTGTAAGCTTTGAAAGTAACAATGTATGTACAATGATAAGAAAATGGTTTTCCAATATTGCTTCAAATTAGAAGGAGAAGACAAAATATCATGCAAAGGAAAACGCTACCAGCAATTCAACAGAACAACAAAAAAAATGTTTAGAGCTAGGTAGCTACTAATCATAAAAAAAAAAAAAAAAAAAAAAAAAAAAAAATGGAGTATTAATGCAAATATTGCTTATGCCTGGGAATGGAGATATGAAATTAATTCTTAAGTTTAGTGATAAAGTTTGACTGAAGTTAGAAGTAGATAAGAGAGGCTGTGTTTACAGTAGTGATCTGTCTGTTTCAACTCTCGGTATTGTAATTACACCGGGATTTTGTTTCAGGGTAAATGCATGGATCTATATGCTCACCTGTCCCAGCTAGCCGCTTTGCTACTGGTGTACAAGATCTGTCTTCTGAGGTAGTGCTCATAGAATCATCATCTACAGAAACATATGGTTTTAAATATAATTGATTTAGACACATAAATTGCAAGTATTATTCTCATGTTTTGCAGGAAAGGCTTATCTTAAATTCAAAATGTCACAAACAATTAGTCTTTGATGCAACAGATTCTAAACAGGTCTTCTGCCATATGCCTTCCTAAAATCAAATCAATATCTTGTATCTCATAAGCCCTGTGTTTCCTTCTGCCAAAAAGACAGCTGTGGGTGTTGCATGCAGGTTTAAAATGCATGATTAAATATGTAAGTTCATGCGTATTGTTTGGATCTTAAAATTAATTAATTCTATATGTGATTTACTTACTGTATAAGGGGACAAAAGTGTTCTTTCTTGAGTTACTCTCAAGAAAATTCTTGCATTTCCCTTTAACATTTCTGACTCTCTCTATATTTTTAATTATGTCCCATGAATTCATTGCTTTCATTCTCTCAGCTGTGCTGCCTCTCTAATCTTTTTCTGCTCTCATCAATGGCATGTGTGGGCCACTGGCTTCAAGTGATTACTATCCTCAAGTGACTATTACATGACAAGAACAGGGAATTTGTATAATAAGGGAGTCCATTGATTCACATGACATTTTAATCTGTGTCATTGTGTATCAGCTGTTCTTTGCATTAGTGTGACCTTGCTGTGTCTCTGAACTTTCAGGGTCAAAGTTTTACATTATCCTCAATGCAGCTTGCATTTTCTATGTGGTATTGCTCTTATGGAACTGCTTTAACACTGTCCTTAGTTTATACACTTACAGTTGTCATTCATGATTTATCTTACATCAACAACAACCTATGTAAACAGTTGTAAAAGCTCTGCTGTTCTCTGAGCACCCCAACTCCAAACAACATAATCATTAAGAAAGAATTTTGCTGGGATCACAGAAGTGTTGCCTTACAGGAGAGAAATATTCTTATAACAGAAACTTTCAAAGTAGAAGGACAAAGAATTATGGTTCACAGAATCACTAAGATAGTTCCTTTTCTATTGTTTGCAATTAATTTGTGAATATAGATAATATTACCTGTCAAATATATTTTGATCCAGAGTATCAGGCCAATAGTTTTTCAAGTAGTCTCATTTCCTCTAATGTATTTTTGATGACTTTTCATGGTTCTTATGCTCATTAGTTCCAGAAGATAATTATCCTTAATATATTAATATATGCTAGCATATTAATCTTTTCCAATGTCTAATTTTTATGTTTTTAATAAAACAAATCTTATCCTGAATACATGATAACTGAATGTATGACTTTTACATACAGTTAAACCTCTGATTTCAGTTTTATGTTTAAAATAATTCAGAATATCTGTTGCCATTCCTGGATAGTGAACAGATTGAAATTAAATGTACTATCCTGTCATTAAACAATATTTAAAAAAAAAAAAAAAAAGATGAGTCTTAGAATCTGTTTGAGAGAGCTATTTAGCATTTCATTTCATCTTCCCTAGTAGCACTTTACAGAAAAACTGTACTGGTGTCACAGTCAAATGCAGAAGTGTTATCATATCTAGCATAATATGTAATGCAGAAGTATTTTTTTTAATAGCAAATAGGAAGGATAGATAAGTGATTGTGCAGTTTTGCACAGTGAAATCAAACAAACACGCTTTACCACAGCCAGATGTAGAACCAGTATGTTGTGTGGGAAGAGGCTATGAAGCAGAATTCAAAGTAGAAGACTTTGACTTCTTCAAAGTAGAAGACTTTCTCATTCTGCAGTATGTTGTGTGGGAAGAGGCTATGAATCTTAATAAACATGCAGTTCCCTGTGAAGCAGAATGTGCTGCTATAACCAGGAGAGCGCTGCTGACCTACCTATGTCAATCGTCTCCTTCTTTATTTGTGTAGCTGTCTGGGTGGAATTAGTGAAGTCCTCCTCATCCTCAAGGATTTCTGTGCAAAAAATGTACAGTTCTTGTTAATTAAAAAGGCCTTCGGTTGTGTCGTATCCCCAACTTCAGAAGGCCTGCAGTGAAGAAAACTATTGTTAAAGTTTTCGTATATTAATTCATTAAGACTGTCATCTCTCTTCATTAGTTTGCTTAACAGCCTAATCTAAGGTCTTCAGTTTGAAACTGTAGATTCAAATAAATCTATAATACCATGTAACAGTTGCTTTAATTGAAATAAGTTTATAGATTAAATGTGGAAACCCTTAGAACCATTCTACAAGTTCTGTAGGACACATTTAATAACTGATGACCCTGGCTGCAGCAGAATGGGAAGGATGGGAGTCTCTCAGTGACCTCACTGCGTGCTGACAACACCCCTTATGAAAGTCACCCGGTGACTTGTGTCCGGAGTCAGGGCCCAGGACACGGCTGCTTTCGTTGCTGTTGCACCACGGCGCTCTGCCTGGGTGATTGATCTGCAAGCCTGCCTGCCTGGTAAAGGCCAAGTGCTGGGCTCCTGTCCCCGGAGCATCCGCGTTCCCGCAGCTGCGGAAGGGTTTGGGCCACGCAGGCCGGACCCGGGCCCGGGCAAGCGCACAGCCCTGGCCCCGCGGCCCTGCTTTCACCTTGGTGGGGAGGAGAGCTCTGCTCCTCTTCCATTGGCTCCCTGGTGTTTAACGGAGAAATCCACCCCTTTGCCCTGGCAGATGATGCAAGTAGGCTGTCAGATCCTCATTTCCAGGTGAGGAAACCGGGGTACAGAGATAAAATGCTGAAGGCCATGCTGTGGAGCAATGGCAGCTGTTTCTGGCTCCCAGCCTGTTCTCGAGCCATTCAAGAATATTGCCCCTAAATGTTGAGCAACCAAGTATGTTCTATGGCCATAACATTGTATTAAAAACTATTCTCCCAAACCAAAGTGGGCAGGTCTGCATCAGACATTCTGTATGTCATGGTCAGCATCATGCTCTTTATTTTCTGCAAGCCAAGAACAGAGACAGCCTGGTCTGGCCTGGCTCTTTTTCTAATGACCATTCTGAGCTTTGGGGTGGGCATAAGAAGAGAAAGGCCCAGGCAAACACAGCAAACAATCACCAGTTTCTTCTATGGATAAACCACAGTAGGTTCATCCACCTTGGTTAGTCAAGCTGTAGACTTCTGCCATAAAACAGGCTTATCCTCTACTTTGTATTTGAAGCATTGCTCAGAAAAGCAGTGCTGTGTATGTCTTTTACTCTCAGACTGAAACAAGCTACACTGCCCTTCAACACTGTCATATCACTCTACACTGTTTCCTCTGCTTATGAGGGAAGATTAGGAATTCCCCCTCGTGTGTGTCTTGTGTAGTAAAAACATGGAGCAGAGAAAGCAGGAGGCACTTTCTCTGTGCGTGGCTTGTGTTAACTCTTACACAGTTGGCAAATCTGATGCAGTCTGTTGCACTGATGTGTGGAACTGGCTGCAGACACAGCTGAGGGCACAGTTGTGACTTAGGGCCTGCGGACCGAGCACAGCCCAGGCTAAGCCAGGAGTAATCAGGACTTATGCTTGGATCCTGAGAGGAGTTTTAAACATTATCCTTTGACTTTATGTCCGTACCTTTAAAAACTCCAAGCACAAGGCAGTAGCTTTTCCAAAGAAACTAACCTTAAGTGCCTGCGCACATACAGATTTAAGATCTTAACTTTAAGCAATCAATTTTTAAAAAGTTCTCGTGCTGGTAGTATCTTGGCAGTATCACAAAATTTTCAAATTTTTTGAAAAAATTTGAATTTTTCCTGAGAAGGATATAAAGCAAAACTTATGGGGCAACAAGAATCTTAAGAAATAATGACAAGTCATTTGTTTGAAAACAAAGTACTTGCTGTAGTTTTGTTAGTCAAAATGACTAAATTTTGTTTTATTTCCAGATTGATTTACTATATATATCTTTTATCAAGAAAGAGAAAATGGCGGCAACCCGAGGCTGCTTTGCTAAGTGCCTTTTGCCAAAAACTACATGTTTTTTCCGGCTGATACAATGTTCCTGCACCCTCTGCTGGCAGTCACTCGAGGAAGCTACTTCAGTGCAATGGCGTGAGAAAAATTTCAATTGCAGACTACAGAAGCACTTCCAAGGATCTGCTGATCTTTGTTCCTTCTCAGGTGGCCATTCGCTGTCTTTTGAGTGTGAATGCATTTGGGCAGGGGAGAAAAACAACCCAGTGAGACATCAGTAACTAGGTATTTTCCTGAAACTGATGTGTTGTCTTTTAACTGAATATTTTCCTTTATAGTAGAGTATGGCAAACCTGACTGAACTTTTTATAAAGATGGGCAGTTATGACAGCATTACAGTGAGTAATAATTCAGATCCAATTGTAAGATCATGAGAAGTACATGCACTCCTGTGCATTTATGCCTTTCTGCAGTAGCCAGAAACTAGTGTCTGCCCCAGTTAGCTGGTACGTTTCTGGACAAGGTGTGCCCATAACTCTGACTACAGAGTAAATTAACGCTGTGGATCAGTTAGGAAATTACAGTGCTCTGAAACCCCAGTGCAAGGTTAACTGAATTTCTAAAATCTTATTTAAATCAAATTATTTTTTCTTTAAAATTCCCTTAAAAAGTCACAGCTAAGTGTGTCTATATATATATATAAATTATAATAACATGCTTGTTATGAAGCTCTTGTGAAGCAGTTTTCTATGGAATTTAAGTTGGAAAATGGAGTAGTCTTTAAGAAGTCACATCCTAAAGGCTATAGATTGTCAGAGATCTATTTAAATCAAAAAAAAAAAGAAATAATATCCTTGTCTGATTGCAAATGAACTTATGAACATCTCTTGAACTACCACTTTTTGACTTTAAATTCCTTCTAACTATCCAGGAAAGGCCATGCACCACATGAGAAAACAGAGGACCTCAATGATATTGTAAAGTGAAAAATACACATATTTTTTCTGCATTATATAATACCTTACTATGTTACCACAAATAACTATTAAACTCTGTTTTTTTATCACTTTTAATTAAAATTATGTTAGCCTGTATTGTTCACATGGCAACAAGGGTTAGAATTTTGGAAAGCAAAACTGCATCACTTCAAGCTAGAGTGCTGTGTTTTGGCTGGTTTTTTTTTTTCCACAGAAGTTAGGAGTCAGTAGGATAGGCTGAGACAGAGACACTTGTAAAACACTTGCTATTTCAATTCTTACCCACAAAATCAGATTTCAGTTTAAGTAATTAAACTAAACAAAATTTGCTATTGCAGCATTTGAGAAGGGAAATGGTAATTAATGTAGGCTTATCGATATTCAGTATCCACAACATACCTTAAAGGAATGTTGAAGCAGTAAAAGTAACTATGCTAAACTTCACTGGAAATAGTTAACATTTTTTAATTAACTTGTTTAGAAGATCCAGAAAGTTACAGTATTGCAGAGCTGTAAGGAGTTCAAAACTTTTTGCGAACAGCATAATAGCACCATCAAATCTGTGTTTTATTTCAGTGTCTTACTATTGTCCATATATGTATAGTAATTTTGCTTATTTCCAGAAAAATGTAATACAATGCATTTTACAGGCTGTCTTTACTGGCATTTATGATTTCTTATATATTTCCTTTGTCTCAAAATGAGGTTCCTATAGGAAATTCACTCTTTATGACAACCTATTTTTTTCCTAATTAATGTCTCAAGTCTCCATGCTGATCTAGTAAAGGATAGTTATATATTTCTTTGTTATGAAATTTAAATTAATGAATTACATTTTCTGATCTTGAATGGCAAGGCAAGAATACTGTTGTTCAGTATACCTCCAATTACTTCTAATGATCAATCATATCTTTACTTACTTGTCATAGCTGTTTCTTTCGTTATATGCAGAGCTGCCAGATTCTCTGGAGTAGTATTTACAGTAACATCATCTGTCAGAAGATTTTTAATTTGACATTAAAATGTTTCACGTTCACAATATACTATTTTAAATTCTGTAACACTATACCTTAATACCTTATTTATGAGCGTATTCTGCCTCATGCTACTATAGGAGATCATGAGGTAACCTTTGCTGCGAAGAGTCAAGCCTGTCAGCCTTCCAGAAAGACCTTCATATATGTCCGTGGCTGAGTGTTAAACTCCCATTTCCCCTGAATGCTGAGTTTTCAGATGCAAACCATAATGCTCCTTTGTTAGGAACATACAAGTTTCATATTCAGTGGTCAGCATAAAAGCATAAAATAGGTGTTAGTCAGCATAAAATAGATAGTGATACTCTTAACTGAAATTTTGATCCCCTGACATTAAATATTGATCGAGTTATATTGTGAAAAAGAGAATACCCCATTAATTTATGCACAGGATACTCTACAATTCTAAAGGTTGGCAAGGCATGGTTTAAGTAAATGCAATCATACATGTCATTCAACTTGCTTAGACCAATAGTTTCTTCTTCCTTATATCCTGGACCTTCAATCTTAAAAAAAAAAAAAATCTTACTAGCCTGTTTTTGTCAAATTTTGCTGAGCTCACCGTAAGTGTATACATATATGCTTATATTTATTAAATGTATGTAATCACTATGATGTGATGTCCTGCTTAAAAGGTTCATAGGCCTCTGCATTTTCTATCTGTCATTGCAGAGTGGACCTATTTCTGAAATCCATTTTAGCTTACTAAATTTGGGGGTTTGTACAAAGTAGAAGACTTTCTCATTTACCTGAGTCAGAAACTTTCTTTATATCTGCAACCCGTAGGTCTTCTGACACATTACTAACAGAGTCCTCTTCAGCGGGGTCTCCAGGCATTTCTGTGTAAATAACGCTGTGTTAATTAGCGTACCACATGAGAGTGCTATATGAGCACTGCAAAAGCACGTGGCTGTGTCACACCACAGGATCCATCTAGCCTAGGGTCCTCTTCCTTCCAGCAGTCAGTAGGAGAGGCCCATGTCTAGAAACAGGGCAGCTGCAGAGTGAAGCTGCGCTCTGCTCCACTGCCTGTGACTGAGGTGTTTGGAGAGCCTGGGTACTCATCTCTGTGGTATGGTTTTCTCACCCACTTCCTCTATTCACTTACTAACTGTTAGTGTTAATAATTGGCCACTATAATATCATCTACAGAATTCTACAGCATAGAATTCTTCCTGTCTAATAGACTATTTTAATTTTGTTCTTAAACAACAGGCCTATTTCTGGTTGCATATACCAATAAATACCAATAAAATGTTTAAAGTCCTGTGTGGTGTAGGTACATCGGTCTACTCTAACTCTGCAAGTTATCCATTAATAACCACAGAAAAGATAAACGCAAGTTCCACCAGCATTCTTTGTGCTCTTTCTACTATTTTCACATATATGTCACTGATATGGGAGTCTTACTTCAAAGGCCAGTAGAGCTGGACTACTTTAGACTGTAAGAGAAAGGGAGTTTAAATGTTACTATATAACTAATACTTACAACTACAGACTACTTTGGTTCATTATCTTCATTTTTTCAATCACATAGTCTGACCATCTCTGTGACCCACTTTTTATTTAAGCTGGAAACAATCTCTTCTGTGATGAATTTATTTTGGACTGGTCTCTCTATATCTCTCCATTTTGATCTCTTTTTTTCCTCTTGCAAGTATACTCTGTTTCTCAGTTCTGTTTTTTAAAAAAATGTCTAGGGGAACTATTCAATGTCAGGGATTACTTTATGATGTAAATAAATTACTGGTAAAACAAGTAACTTCCCATTCAGTGTTTTTCTTCCCCAGCAAATTGTTTAATCTAGCTGACTAACATTTGGGGGGTTATTTTAAGGTCTATAGTGCTGGAAAGCTAAAAATTGTATATTATATGGGTAGCTGAAGTACTTACCTATGCAGTCCTTTTCTGATTTTGCTTCAGTCCATTCTGGAGGCCTCCCACTTTCATCATTATCTGATTTACTTCCTTGTTCCATGGTGCTGTGCCCCAGAATAGCATCCAGTTCATTAAAAAATTTCATAGTTTTACTTGTACTCCCTGAGTCTTGGGCATTTTTTACACTCTTGTATTCGTGTTTCAGATTTTTATATTTTGTCCTGCACTGCTTCCAGTCCCTGTCAATTCCAAACTTTTGCAGTCTGGCAGCAACCTGTTCAAATATTCTTTTATTTCTCACTGTCCCCTCCAGTTGTTGCTGGATACTTTTGTCTGACCATATGCGTATCAGAGCTCTGACTTCATTAACAGTCCAGTGTTTTCCTCCTTCATTTGCTACTGTTGGAATAAAAGTCGGTGTTTTGGAAGCCTCTATTGCTGGCGCTGGATTACCTGCATCATGTGGGGTAGGGGAAAGACACAGATACAGGTTACCTGCATTAGGTAGTTGGGGTGGGGAAAGGACAAAGAGAATGAGAGTGGAGTATTCTGTTTCTTAATGTCTTTTCTCTCCAAAGGAGGATAGAAGAAAAGTAACATTAAGGGTATTTGTCAGCATTTTCTTAGGACATTATTTTTTCTTCTATTGAAAATTATGTTAAGATTAAACATGCATTTCATTAACTGGAGTGGAATATTTCTTTCTTTTGTTCCCAAATACATTTAACTTTTACTTGAAACACTCTTGAGAAAACTGATTAACTATTTTGTTACTGATAGATTAGTCTGGAGAAGACTCACATGGATGATGCAAAGTGCTGCATTAACACAGGAATAAATTGGGCCCTCGGTCACTGGCAGTAGTATAAAAGCTTCTGCATTTATGTTTTACACACATGCATAACTTTAAACTAGGCAAGGACCTGAAGAATCTGCTCCTTAATTCTAAGAACACCCCTTTCGTGGGGAGTTGAAGTAGGCAGATTTTCGTCTTGTCACACAAGAATGTGTGCAATATTGAACCCAGTCATCCTGGTACATAGCCTCTCCCTTATTCAGTTCAGGTCAATATAAAAATTAATCTTTAAATAATCAAACATTGTTTTTTGAGTAAAAAGTAACATTTGAGCAATTTACTCTGCAGAACTAGCAACTTTTTTTTTCTTTTTTTTCCCCTCTTTTTTTTAAACTGTTTTCCTTGTTTATAATAATGAAATTTCTTAAAGACTTAATTCTTATTGTCAAATTACTTGGGAAAGCTCCTTCTGCATTTTCTAAATCTATGCAAAAACATTTTTTTTTCTCCAAACAATTCCAGTGCTTTATCAGAGAGAGCAGACATAAAAGTGCAGGGTAACTAACACGGGCTTTTTTTTGCAGTCATAATGGAGGTGACAAATGCCTCTGCAACTGTCTTGTCCTAAAGGATAAGTCAGGCTGTGCAGGTTGGATACTTTAGAGTATGGCAAAAATATTTGACCTTTGTTTGTACGTACAGCTTCTGTGCAGCATAGTCATGTATTATAACCTATCTGGATTATTATAACCTATCTGGGACAAACTTGTCCTAAAAGTGGTCATTCTTTGCAAGTCTCCACAATTCATCCTATTTGTGAGGGGAAAAAAAAACACACAAACAAACATATATTAAAATATATCATTTTTTCTCCTTTTAGTCCTGCCTTAATCTGAACTCTGCAGAAGACAGCTCACTAATAGGATGTTGGGGAGAGTAATTTTCCGGTGATATATCAGTTATGCTTTCTACATTTCTTCCTGAAGGAGTGAAAGAAAATGCTTGGTTCACATATGAATGCACCCGTAGGAGTTGCCATGGCTGACAGCTGCCAACATCAAATAAGCGTCATGTAGTTCCTATTCTTTCCAAAGTGGTTTATTCTTAACTATCGGAGGGCACCATGGAGAACAGAAATGAAGCCTAAGAAAAGAATGCAGAAAGTGCTCCACTAGCTCCGCATTTCTCCATCAAAGCCAGAGAGGGAGTATGGGATAATTTAGGGGGATAAAGTTTTTTTAACTGTTAGGAGGACAAGTATTTCTCATTAATACGTTCATTGGCAACTGAATTCATTTCCCATTGTGGATATTGGTTTGTACAGATTCCAGTGAGGCAGTGGATTGCTCAGTTGTTCTACTCTATGCAGAATAAGTAGAGCAGAGTGAAAAATGTTTGCTCAGTTTGTTCCTTATTTCCTCTATTGAAAAAAAAAAGGGAGAGGGGAATTAAAAGTATTTTAGCCACCTTGAAACAAAGTGGTTATGGTCACTGAAATTGAGTTTATGTTTCAGATGTAGTTTAGTTCTAATTAGTTCTAAAGTATTTCTAAAAGCATTTGAGAGAGGATATGTGCAGTATTTTTTGTCTGAAAGATGTCTTAATACTGTATTTTGGTATTTTTCTAACCTTTGTCAAAAGGGAAAGGAAATGTTGAGAAATCTGCTGAAATTAACCCAAAATATTATGCAGCATAGATATAAGGGGCTTGGCAGATTTTTCACTGGTGTTTGAAATAGTGCCTGAGATTTGAAAACTGAGAGAGGCACTAGGAAAGACTGCAGTGTCAGTGCATGCTTGAGAGCCGCTGCAGTTGGAAGTTATTTTGTTGGCTTTGTGTAAAACAATATTCTCAGAATTAGAGGGTTTTTTAGTAGGCCAAATGAATCTTGGCAGTGTGTTGCAAAAGCACTGATGAGTATCGTGGATTTAGGCATATTTGTGTAAATTTAGATTCGGTTATTTACTGCAGGAAAATGTATTTGGTTAGTGTGGTTAGTACAATTAAAATATATCAGGGGATGTGTTTTGAGCGTGAAAGGTAGTCAGTCATGTAGTAGTTCTGTTACATACAGTGGTCAGTATCTAGTGATGTGTTATACTGCTGAGACCTAAAATTGAGAAGGGGATGGTGCACAAATATGACCATTTTAAAGAGCTGTTGATCAGAAACTGAATGATGGCATATTCATACTAGCAGAAATGGCTGGGACATGTTGCTTTTTAGTTTTTGTTCTTTCTGAGTGCATCATCATACTATACCTAGTTGAACTGGTCTGACATGGGACATAAAGAGTAGTGGATCTCCTGGAGCATCCTCCTCATCTTCTAAAGAAACTGATATTTCACCTGGGAAGGAAAGAGTTTTTAGATGAAAAACAGGTATGGACTAAATTAGAATCAGAATCATAGAATGCTTAAGGTTGGAAGGGACCTCTAGAGATCATCTAGTCCAACCCCCCTGCACAGGCGGGGTCCCCTAGAGCACGTGGCACAGGACGGCGTCCAAGCGGGTTTTGAAGATCTCCAGAGAAGGAGACTCCACAACCTCTCTGGGCAGCCTGTTCCAGTGCTCTGTCACCCTCACTGTTAAGAAATTTTTCCTTAAGTTCCTGTGGAACTTTTGATGCTTCAGTTTCTGGCCATTCCCTCTAGTTCTGTCAGTGGCCACCACTGAAAAGAGGCCAGCACCATCCTCCTCACTGCCTCCCTTGAGGTACTTATAGACACTGATTAGATCCCCTCTCAGCCTTCTCTTCTCCAGGCTGAACAGGCCCAGCTCCCTCAGCCTCTCCTCATAGGGCAGATGTTCCAGGCCCCTGATCATCCTTGTAGCCCTGCACTGGACTGAAAACGTCCATACACGATGAGATTGTTAACTCTGTAAATTCCAAAATTATTTTGTATTTCAAAGCAGTCATAAGGGGATGGAAGTTATAAAATACAAAATAAAATATTTCAATTCTTACTTCTGATGCCTGTTGATGGTGTTTGTAATTTTAAAATTCTTGTAGAAACTGACTTCATTCTAGTTGACTCATCTGTGCTTCACTGACTTTCAGAATTTGTGGACTGTGCATTAAAAGTATAGTTTGAAAACCGGAAATGTGAAGTACAAGATGTACAAACAGAAGTGGAGTTTGCACACAGATTCAGATTACTTTGCACATGGATTTGAATTTATATTATTTATAGAGCACTTTTTTTTCCAAGAAGCATATCACAAGAAGTATATGAAGAAAACAACATTCTGCAAAGAGTCTGGAAATTATGAAATTCATTAATGGTCCAAGGAAAGTGGGAAAATATTTTGGCCAGAGAACAGATGTATTTTTAATGGCCTCAATTCAGCTCTAGCTTTACAAAGTATAGCGTTCCTTCATTTGATTAAAAAACAATACTCTAGCAACTGCAACATTAGCTTGGAAAGCAGCAGATGTAAGTCAGTTCTGAATCAAGTTAATTTTCACAAATGACAGACTGTTTTAAATGCTACTTCAGTAATTTACTATATTCAACATACTGTGTTGACAGAATGTTTTAAATGATGGTTCACTGTATGTTGAGTGAATTACTACCAGCTCCAACTGGGAAGGTCACAAATCAGAGGCAGAATCAGAACTGTATTGTAGTCCATAACAATGACATTATTAGTGAGTTATGTGCAATGTGGTACTTCCGAGCTAGGTGAAATTGGAAACTAAATTTAGGTTTATTTGAAAACTGTACTCTAAATCCTCCTAACTTTCAGCAAGACTGAATGAGTCCTAGATACAGCGTCCTGATCCCAGCTCCCAGCTGTCTGCCGTGTTTCTCCGGCAGAGGCTGCTACCCCCTGCAGCCGGGTGGGCTAAGGAAAAGCGTGCTCGTGCCTCCACTGCTCTAGTGCCAGGACCAGCATCTGGTCTGCTCAAGAATGTCTGGTCTGCAGACAAAACTATGGAAAAGGAGGAACACATTATTTTTTAGAATGCCACTGAATGTACCTGGGCACAGGGCTGAGCAAGTTTGTTTGTTTGTTTTAAAGTTCTGATAAATGAAAACGAATAGCTACTTTTAAGCGGTGCTATTTTATATTTATTTGTAATTTATAAAAAATATTTATAATTTATAAATGAGAAAAGTTATCACAAAAAGATACTGAAATATTTAAGAAGAAAAACAAAAAACGTCCATTTGTCTGTATTGCATACCCTTATTCAAAAAACATGTATATAAACAACTTGTAAAAGATTTCTGTGAAAGTCCAGACATGGAAAATGATGTATGAGAAGCATTTTCAAATTAGCATTTCTGAAGGGTCTTTTTTTATTTCTGGTATCCCTCTAAGCTAAGTACAAATGACAGTATTTTTATTATGATTTATTTCTGGTTTGACTTGATACTTTTTCTGCATTTGTTGTAAATCAAACGCCAATGAAAGTGGCCAGACTGTTGATATTTATTGTTGATGTTTACATCAAGAGAGAAATGCAAGGGAGCAGACATTATTTAGTATTAACTGCTTAAGCAAGGTTTATTTTTGTTGTTGATATTCAAAAGTTAAAACTAATTTTTGCTTTAACCTGAAATAATCCAAGTTGATTAACAAAATAAGGTGGTGGTTTGTTTGGACCCTAGTCAACAATACCGTTTTTCATAGAGCACCATCACTCTATGAGGATTTTATTGACAGTTGATTACTGGGATAATACAAAGTTTGATTTTAAGAGAACTGAATCTGTTGAGTTTTATCCTTTTTAATGATTATTTGAAGTAAGATCGTGTTTGCCTCTGAAAATATACATTGTTGGAGGATAACATCAACATCACTATATGTGCTTTATACAGAAAGGATCATCTTTCCACTAGGATCTGGGACCCAGTTTGTGTTGCTAGTAAGTGCATCCCGAGTCATCTCTCTTGATTTGATTTAAAAATACAAGTTTCTTCAATTACACTTTCAAGAGAAAACTCCTCGACATTAGAGAGCTACAGTTTGGTCCTGCAGAGGAGCTCTCTGCTTTCCCTCCTTCCCGCTCCCGGCATTCCCTCCGGAACTGGAGAACAATCAAGCCAACCCAAGGCCAGCTTGGTGGCTTTTAGGAAGGACGGTTGTGAATGTTTAGATTCAGGCTAAGCAAAAATGTAAAAAAATACAGGAGAGACTTTGGGGGCTTTGGATGTCTCTTGTCATCCTTTTCAAACAAAACAAGTTAGTATAACTTAGGTTACCATAGTTAAATGACATGCTTACTTTGAATATTTTGGGCCTAGTTTTTAGTTTATTTGCAATATTTTGTTTTTGCTGCACCTCCCATCCGAGTCAGAAGCCTCGGCATCCTTGGCTTGTTCAACTCTGTCAAAATCAGACTCAGACTCTCCTTAAAGAAGAAGGGGTCATTTTTCTCTCCTCCTGGGTGTTGCTGTGTGGTCGAGAAGGAGAAACCCAGGAGGGGACTTTCAAGGACAGATGTGTTTTTCATTTTATTTTCCCCGTGGCGGATGCCCACACGAAAGCCGCCCCCTTTCCCTCAAGGCGGCGGCGCTGCGGCGCGCGGTGCTGTGGTGGAGGCGGAGGGCTCCCTGCAGCCGTCCCCAGAGCGGCACCTTGTTCGGTGGCAGGGCTGCCATCGGGGCTGCCCCTGTGAAAACTCCTCCACACCAGCTGCAGAGCCACAAATGTCACTTTAGCCTTAGAGCTGCCCTTCGAAATCCTGGCTCCACAGCTTCCCCTTGGTAGGCCTTGCAGCCCTGACTGTAATAGGAAAAGGACTGGGCCTCTACTATACTGTTACTGCCTTGATTTGTATTCTTAAATTGAAAGTTAATGTTCTGACAACTATCCTCTCTGTCTTTTGTTATGGATATATCCTGCATAGCTGCAGGATACTTTTACATCTGAATATGTTTTCATTGTGGCTGAGAGAATCTTCACATTTAAATTCTTACCATGAGTGTCATATTATTACAGCTAGCTAGATTTGATTTCTGCTTATGTACAAAATAGATTTTTTATGAAGTATTGGAAATGCTTGTGCATTTAACTTAAAATAAATATTTAATTTAGAATTATCACCTTTAAAAACAGATGCTTCAAAATGAAGTGAACCTCACACAGGGTTTATTATTATTATTACTATTATATTGTGGATTTCACCATTGAAATTGATTGATTTAAGCTTGCTAGAGGTTCAAGTCAACAAGAGTTAGGATGAGCAATTTGGGCAAACAGAACCAAAGCACATACATAGGATATCTATGCCTGGATCCTCAGATGATGGGCCCTGGCTTAGTTTCATGCAGTCCTCTGAAGGGTAACAGCTTGCATGTAGCCAAAGATTTGGTCCTCAGTTGTATATGTTGAAAAAAAAAAAAGTATGTAGTTGCAATACACAGTGCAGAGGGCATGTATTAAAATATTATAAAATCACCATTTTATTTTAAAATGTCTTCAGGCAGATTAGACAGATTACACTATTAGTGAAGTCAAATTAAGGGCAAGCTCTTCAGTTCAGATAAACAGTGAAAAGTATGAAAAATGCCAAAATGTTTTTCTCACACCTAGAAAACAGCATTGCAGAAGGAGACTTTCAAGAGGAAAAGGTCAAGCTAGATGTCCAGCTCCCTTTGCCAATCTCCACTGATACTAATTTTCTGTTTTCTTAGAAAAATCCACAATCCTCGGTTAATGTAAATGTGTACATACACTGGGGTAAGAAACTGGGCTTAGCTTTGAATTTCTCTCAATCCCTTTTTAGACATATTATTTTGCTACTCATAGTTATTTTTGGGGTGTAGTCTTCTGTGACATTTGGGATGTGACATGGAGATTTTGAGTGTCGAATATGGAATTGTGTGGGCCCTAATGAAACATTAAGTGCAGCCTAAATACATATGTAGAGAGGGCTGAATAAACCCTGAGGTGCAACTAATTTGGTAACAATTCCTTCAGAATAAAAGCATTTGTTTTATTTTTCGTGCCTCAGAATATTATGTTTAAAATTAAGATCAGCAAGATAAATGTTACTTTGCTCAGTATAATTTTTAATGTGAAGTTATTAAACAACCTGTTAAGCATCTTTGTTTTTCAAATATTTAAGTGAATTTCTTATTAATATTGCTTAACATTTAGTTATTGTATTTATACTTTCTGTTAAAAAGAATAGCAAGTGATTAGAAATTGTAGTTATAAATAACAGTCTTCAAATAAATCATCACAGCTTCGATATTTACTTTTTTTTGTTTGTTTCTCTCTGAAATGCAGCTTTAAAAAAAGCCTTGCAGAAGTAACACTTCTTAATTTAATCCTTGCAGCCAGTTGCTCAGTGACACCAGGGGCTCCTGACAGAGCCTCTAACGCAAGCAGTTAGTACAATTTTGTTAGAATTATGCTGTATTTACAGACTTCGACACTGGTGGGTGCTCACATTTTTCCCCTGAGCAAGGAGTGCATCAAGTCAGTTGTGCTCTAGCAGTGAGCTTGGTGCTGTGCAACCTTCGCTTCAATTCCAGCAAACTTAGCCTTTTTATTTTTTTTAAGCAAAGATAGAATATAGAAGTGAAAACAGTTTTTACCTTGCGTGCTGTCGGTTGTGGGGCTTGTGTTGAGCTGCGTCTCAGTTGCAGAGCACCTGCCGTTTTCTTCTGCCGCTAATTGCGTGACAGGTTCATATCGCAATATGGCATCCAGGTCATGAAAAAACTTCATGGTTTTGGTGACATCCCCAGAGTTGTGGGCATATTTAACCGTTCTGTATTCGTACTTCAGGTTTTTATACTTTGCACGGCACTGTTTCCAGTCTCTGCAAACTCCCAACTCCTGCAACCTTTTAGCAATGTAGATAAATATTCCTTTATTCCTCAGGGTGCCATGGAGTTGCTTTCTGATATTTTTCTCTGACCAGACGCTTAGCAAGGCTTTAACCTCCTCCTCAGTCCAATGCTTCCCTGCTCCACTCTCCATGTTGAAAGTGACCTGGAAATGATTCACTATTTCTAGCCAAGATTTTGTTTCCTAGGAAACCAGACGGCTGGTTGTCAGTAAGCTCCAGCGAGATGAAAGGATCTAGTTTTACTGGCTCAAGCTGCCTGAGGGGAGTAACTTGAGAAACTGCCAAATAAGCAGCCTCTGTATTAGAGGCAGACAAATAAAGCAGCTCAGGCACAAATGATTGCTAAGGAGCACGAGCCGCTGCAGTAAGATAAGGCGACCTTCTGCGAGGTAGAAAACGAGCACAGCAGCATCTAGATACATATTGTTTTAACCCTTACTGTGTAGAGTGGTTTTAATACTTAATATTATCACTGCTTTGTAATGAAAGTAAAACAAGAGACTTGTGCTGCCTTGTTTCTTTAAAAGAAAATCCTTGTGCCTGCCCTTTGTGAGGGCTGAGCTGCAGGGACTGAGCTGTGTGGGCATCCGAGCAGCCTCTGCTTCCCACCAGGGACCCGCTCTGCAGTTGCATTGCTGAGACCGTATTGCTGAGACTGCTGACTTAAGTTGCAATACTTCCTACTGTAGTACCAGGAATAATGTACATGCTCTTATTTTTAAATTAACAAATATATATATACACATACAGTTTTAACTCTTAATGTCCATTTCTCATTAGCAAATTAATAAAAAGCTTGCATACTTAAATTGGTAAAACTATATAAGCTTTTTTAGTAATGAAACTGAGCTTGGTTTTCTTTCCTTAACACTGTATTAAAAATCTAATCCAATTACTTGAAAAGGCCTTTCATTCGGGATGTTTGCATCTCTTTCTTCACCCTGGTTGATTTTGGTGATTTTCAAAGGAACACTCAATATTTAAATGGCAATCATCTGCAATGTTAAAAAAAAAAGAACTAAAAGTCGCTGAATGCTGGATATTAACTCTTTAAGTTTTACTGCCAAGCCCTGTGTTTATAAATGGACACCTTAAACCCGTTTATTGAAGAATGTCCTCATCTCTGCAGTTTTTTGCTTGAGGATTATCTGTGTCAGTAACTGGATACATTTGTCCAGATGTGCATGATATGGCTTATTTTGTTTTCTGTAAGCAAATGTTCTTTAGAAATTCGCTTTACTGGGGCTAGTGACCAGTGCAGGGATTCGAGCCTTAGAGAACATTTGCAATGGGAATGTTCAGTGACAGATTAAGCTCTATCATGTAGATTTTTGCACACAGTCTTATTGTTGCTTTGCTTATCCTAAGCAATTCCAGCAATTTCAATTACAGTCAAGTAAGTCTAATGTGTGAACAGAATATTGTTCAAATATTCTAATAATATTCTAAGTGTTTCCTTTTCTAGGAAGAACATCTTTCCCTTTCCACTATTACTGCAAGACAAACTCATCTATTGCTATTTGTGATTTATGCTAAACAATTTAGACAGTCTGGTGTGCAAAAACTTTGTCTATACGAGAGTGAACTCCACTCCATATAGAGTCCAACAAAGCCCATGCGAGTATCACAGCAATAGTGGAGACTACAGCAGCAGTTTTTTAGAAGTAACACCTTGCCTTATTCCAGGACGACTTTTAAGGAAGATACAGCAGCTTTCACTGTTACCTACAGAAAATCGTTTTGCCAAACATACATACTTCAAGGATGAGGACTGCGTTGTAAAACTCAGGCACTTCCCTGAAATGATGCTGCTAGTTCTGGTCATGTGTCTACAGGACAGAGCATCATTGGGGAGAACAGGAGTATTCAGCAGACCGGAGGAGCTGTCAGTCTGACGCTGATTTGCCATAAGAACAATATTTCAATTTTTAGTGACTGAATACACCAGATTTTTATGCAAGGGGTCAGAAACTGAGGTGTCCAATACTATATCTAGGTGCTCAGTCAGGTGAATTATCGGAGGGTCCACATATTTTTATAGGTGGAAATGGTTGCTGAAGTGTAAGAAGAAACAATCTATTCCCTTAGGCAAAAACATCATTTTTAAAAACAAACAAAAAAACAACAATGGAAATAGAGTGAAAGCCCAGACAACTTTTGCAGCAAAGTGGCTGTTCAGATTAGGCATCTACTGTTATTTTTTGGCCACTGCCTGAGCCAATGCTTTTTAATGGCAAGATTCCCACTGAACTCAGTGTAACATGGACAAGAAACCACACTTTTGATTACAAGCCTGTAAAAGTAAAACAACAAATTAGCTTGCTGTAAAATTTCAAGTTGTAAAAGATAGAAGAAAAGATAGAAGAAAAATCTAAAATAATGCATTTCATTTTAAGCATTTCAGTGCTTTATATCAATTGTTTTTTGTCGCCAGGGGCCAAGAGAGTGCTGGAATTGTGACAAGTGATGGAGAGTCTTCCCAGGCATTCAAAGTACACAAGGTAAAATGTAAATATATGTCTTAGAGATGCCCAACTGAGATGCTGAAGATTTGTTTTACCTGGGAAACAGAGCAATTGGAAGGACAGAGGTAACATGGTTTTATGGACTATTCCGATTGGGTCATGGTGATAGTATGCAATTCTGTTACTCGCGCAATCTTTTGTTGTAAGAGCACATTTGAAACATATACACCAGTATTGTTCTGCTCTGTGTGCACAGGTACGCAGTGGCAGACAAACAGAAGTATTCGGCCTACTGATGTAATAAGAACTACTTAAAAGCTACTTACTAAAGTCATCCTGCACCTACTGTGTTACTCTGGAGAACTGGAAACAGTCACTGCTTCAGCTTGTGCAGAAAGCAAAATAAAAATAATTGCTGGCTGCGCATATGGATCTGTGACTGATTCTTGTGTTAGTGAGGATCAAGGAAGTGGCAGCTACTTTACCCATAAGTAAAAAATATCTGAATTAGAGTTTGAAGGGAAGTCTGAGAAGGTCACCCATTCTTCCTCAATCTGAAGAGGATGGATCCCAGAGGATACTAAGAGACATATGATGGCCATAGTTCATGTATGTATGTACGTCAAGAAAATGCCCACATAATCTGGAAATACTTACGCTTGTTTTGTGTTAAATGGTAGTCAGGAAAAAATAAGCATCAACCAGTTTCATTCTGGAAGAGCAAAGGATTGCAAACTGTCAGAAAACACTTGCTTGAGGGCATGTTCTCTGTCCACAGCCAGAAGGCAGCTTGTCTTCATGTTTTGAGGGATAGGACAGACCTGCTGCTGTTTAAGGAAGAATAATAAAACTGTTGAAATCAGTCCAAGAGTTAAAACTGCTTAGTGGCAGAAGTATGCATATCTATGTAGGACTACTCAATACCTCATGAAAAATTAAGTCTCCCAAAATGTCATGTTTGTCCCTACTTCAGAAACTTCACCCTTCTGTCTGCGTCTTGCAGTCTTTATTCCTCCAGTGGGTTTTGTTTGTTTTTTCACTATAGTACTGCAGTATTTTTCATTCCTGTTCTTGCTTGAGGTTCAGCTTTCCTTAACGTGTGTAAGAAAGTCAACTTCCTCTTAAAGTTGGGATGCTGTCTCTATCACTTCATAAAAAGTAATTCTCAGAATAAACTTCCAGCACATCATGTAGTAGTTTATAATGGTTCCATATTACTGCACTGAGATACTTGGCTGTCATGCTAAGAATTTAGCAATCTGTTTTGCCAATTGAAGGGGGCGAGGAAAGAACCAGACACCAAGGGAAAGAACGGTTGTATCATATCAAGTAAGAAATGAAATGATACTTCTAACAAAACAATAAGCTTACTACACACTTGGTTTTAACAACAAAGTAAGTGAAGTAATGCACCTAACCATTACTATCTGAGAATAGTGATTAAGAAAAAGATACATCACCAATTGCCTAAATACGTTACCACCATCCAGATCTGCAGTCGCAGAGGAGCCCCTGTTGCAGCGAGGATTTAGAGAACCTCCCCGGCAACTGGGAGGTCTTACGTGGTGTGTCCATCCATAAGGGAGGTCTCCAAGGTCGCTGCAAAAGGGCCCAGCTTTTATAGAGCCAAAACAGCAAGTCAGAATGTGACCTGGGAAGTTTAGCACATGGATTTGTGTTCCTTTCTCTCGATTGTTACCAGCCTTCGAAAACAGATTGATGGCCTTTGGCAGACTTTGATAGCCTTCGACAAAGAATATCAATCCTTCGTTTTAAACTCTTCAAGTAGGACTCATCAAAATTTGCCTGTCAAGGTGTTTCAGCTAGAATTGTGCAAAAAAATATAATACATTATTGGCATAGCTATATGAGCTCATGATGTAGAAAAACTTAAATCTCTTGTGGACACAACTCTGCCAGTAGGCCAGAGGCTCTGATTTTTTTTTTCACACTCGGATATGCAGAAAAATCTTTTAAAGTAGCTACTTGCTATATTCTTATATGCACCAGGAAAACAAAAACAAAACAGAACTTTTTTTTTTTTTTTCTTTTCCTCCTGAAGGGAATGGGTCTTATTAACCACGTATTCAATGCAGACAGCCTGAAGAAGCTCTATGTTTCAAATCTTGGGATTGGACACACGAGGTACTCCACCTCCGGAATTTCTGAGCTGCAGAACTGCCAGCCTTTCGTGGTAGAAACCCTTCACGGGAAGATTGCTGTGGCGCACAACGGTGAACTAACAAATGCTGTACGACTTAGAAGAAAGGTTAGTGTCTCCTTGGGGAGGTTCTGGCATCATTCATTTCTGAGTGTGAGGCTGAGTGTGAGCAATAAATTTGCCGTGACTTACTACAACAGCGCTTGGAGTAGTGAAAGAGCAGCATAATGACAAGGAAACATCTGTTAGGAAAAAAAGTCATGGGGAGGAGAGGCATTTCTTATTTGTACCTATCATAAGAGATAACTTGCCAATCCTCTGGATTGATGGTGACATTCCTCTTGATAAAGTGAGAAAACTAACTTGGCTGTGATGAAGGACAGCTTGGCTTTGAAGCTCTGCTCATGTAGGGGGGCTATCCAAGGAGCAAATCATATATTTAGAGGTACAGGAGATGCCATAATTGTAATTCAATTTTTTTTTTGGTGGAATATTGTCTTTATTTGTATATTTGGCATGTGAAAGTAATCATGAGCACTGTTAGGACATATAACACATAAGGAAACATCAAAACCAGATTTTATAGTGTGTTTGGGAATGTGTCAGAGAACAAAATTAGGACTTAGCAGATGTTTCTTTTTGGAATCTGTTCTGTAATAAGTTCCATCCAAAAACAAGAGGGCAAACATATTCTTGCATTGAAGCAAGGCAGATGTATGACATGCTCAAAGGAATCTAGCCTGCCATTAGTCAGAGCAAGAAGTGTCTTAATGCTTTGGAAAAAAAAAAAAAGGGGCAGTAGAAATGGAGATGGAGAATGAAGAGTCAGTACTATTTAAAAATACGTAATGATTTCTGAAGATAAAAATTAGCAATTGTAATGGGCACTGAACTGAATGGGTCACTATAACTGGCTAGACACACTGTAGATTCTCTTTTAAATATTTAGGTCTAGAGCAACTAGACTGACCAGATCTAGCAAACCTTGCTTTGTGGGAAATAAGGTTTTCTTAGTCCTACTCTGCTTCCTTTCTTTTCACTCTGTGCTCTGACCACTACTGTGTATTGACATACCTTTTCTCTTTCCATTTCTTCTATAGAAATATTATTGTGTACTTTCTCTTGTATCTTTTAGCTCTCTTGCCAGAACAAGCAGCAGCACAAAGCTGATCAAATGGTCCAAATATTAATTTATGTCCTGAATACTGCTGGTATTAATTTTGTTTTGTGTTTTGATTGTGTGTGAAGCAAAGAAATGGGATGCAAAGGGAGAAACATAGTGCCATACATAGATGACTTTACCAGCTCATTTTTGTTTGTAGGAAGAAGGTTGAGGTATTTCTAGTTTATGATGCTCTTATCACCTGAAACACTCATCTGTCATGTTTTAAAACATTTGTTCATTGCACAAAGGTATTGTTAAACTATGTGCACCGTTATGGGGGATGTCTTTTATGCTGGTAACACTTTTCTTTTGTTTCTTGAAAGCTGATGCGACATGGCGTGGGACTGTCAACCAGTTCTGACAGTGAACTGATCACCCAGCTGCTGGCCTTCACACCTCCTCTGGAAAATGACGATACTGCAGACTGGGTAGCAAGGTGAGGGGGAGAGGTTTTGGAATCAAGAACAGCAACCTCATTTAAGAGTGATACGTACATTTAAATGCACGCAGGCGTTTGTGTGGCGCATGACTGTGTTAACCTATGTCTCATTTCAGAATAAAAAATTTGATGAATGAAACTCCAACTTCGTATTCATTGCTAATTATGCATAAAGACATAATCTATGCAGTACGTGATCCGTATGGGAATCGTCCACTCTGCATTGGTCGCCTTATTCCAGTAGGGGATATGAACGGAAAAGGTAAAATGCACACACACACCCTTTAATATGTAGTTTGTGCTGTAAACCCCTGATATAAGTAAGTACAGTTGCACTTACTGAGATGAAAGAAGAATTTATGAGGCTTAGAAAAGTCAGTTTTGAAATTTCAAAATTAAAAAAAATATATATTTTAATGAAAAACAATTTGTAGGAAGCTTGCAAACATTTTTCTGCTTCCAGCAAAAGTGAATCCTGGTTCTCTGATGACAGCCATAATTAGGAAGTGTAATCACATATCTGATGAAAGTATAAGTAAATTCTATCTACTCAGGAAAGCATGGATGAACAAGTCTGGTTTCTTCCTTTCTCCGGTAATCAGATGACTGAAAAGAGCTGGGTCATTGGCAGTGTATTTCTAACTTTCAACCACTCCAGGTCACAGTAACTATGGTAGTGGGACACTATAAAACCACTTTATGGGAAGTAATCCTTGGTGTCTCAGCCTGCAAATATACATTTTTCCCAAAGTGAAATTACACTTTGCTAAATTGTATAAAAAATAAAATAATCTAAGGCCAAATCTCTGTATTGACAAAATTTGCTATTTCAATCACAAGAAAAAATGTGTGGATTCTTTCTCTTCATAAAATATATATATATAAACATATATATATATAACAAAATACATATACATATATAAAAAGATATATGTTAAAGATCTGAGTTAAGAACATAAAGACCAGGGTTTTTTAAGCATACAAACACTCCTAATCTCTTTTACATGATCTGTTATGGCCTGTGCCTGTTTTCTACAAATCCTCCTTACTGAGATTCAATCCATTATCTCTTGCAGTTGAAAGGACACATCCACTGACACATTTAGCATAAGGAAAAGTAAGGAATTTCTTGTCCAGACAGAAGTAATTATTTATATTGAAAGCCACTGAACTAGAGTTAGAATAAGTTTGAAGTAGTACAGAGATGAGAAAGGTAATTATCTGAATTGTCTCTTTTCATGAACAGTGAATATGATGCTGTATTTTTTGAATAATGTTACAGAAACTTTGGAGTGCTAAACCTTCTAGTTAGAAATTGCAACAAGTTGTGCACTCAGCAACCGTAACAACCCAGTTGTGCAGCAGAAGTGCAATGTGTGTAGTGGGAATGGTAGCAAGGATTGTGGAATCTAACTGTAACTGAAATCTTTTATTTCAGGAAAAGATAACTGTGAAACAGAAGGCTGGGTAGTCTCCTCTGAATCCTGTAGCTTTTTATCTATCGGTGCAGAGTAAGTGCCCTGAATCTCAGGTTATCTGAAAGCTCTCCTCAAACAGCAATTAAACATTAAACCTCAAATTGCCAGTGATCCTAATCTATAACAATGCCAAAGATATCAAAAATCTCTGGGGTGTTTGGAGCTTTTTTGTTAGATTTAGTTTCTTTTCGTGGCAGGCTTCATGTAAAAGAAGCTAAAGAATTATGTAATCAAAACATAACAGGAAGATTTAATGGCAGATTTTCTCTGTTGCATTATATCTAATTATTCAAACCCATAATATTTTTGTAGTTAGTCTAGATTATGGTAGAATTGTTATAGTACAAAATATTTTAGCTACAGAAAACGTTTCAGTTCAGCTCACAGGCTCAACTTTGAATATGCTGTCTGACAAGCCGGCTTCCTTATCATAAAAATGTGACAGACCTTTGAAACTACTTTCATGTGGACAAACCCATAGTAGATGGGTAAGATATCATTCACATTAACTCTCTAGCTAAGGGAAGGCACTTTCTCTGGACAAAATAATGTCCTTGGCAGTCTGTGAATGGAAGTCAACTGTGAAATAGAACATAATTAAAATAAGAATGATCATGAGAAAGTCTATTTAATTTTCTAACTGGTTATTTAAAGAAAATACATTTGGATATTACACTAATAAATAAAATTGGAGGCAGGGCAAAACTGCGTTAAAACCACAACCACAGGACTAACAGAAATGTAATGCAAAACCAGGAAACAACTGTGATTGTTCTTCTGTGATCTTCTCTTCCATTTTATAGTGTTGTAGCTGTGTTGTTCAGTGTTCCTTTGAGGTAACTTTTGCCATTTCTGTGTAGGAATTATTAACCATTGACAAAAGCCTTATTTACTTATTCACTTACTTGTTACTTACTTGTTTTTAAAGACAATTTGTCCTATATATGCCCAAGAATTGCTTCCTGAAATTTCTTCAAAATCTATCAGAAGCAGATGCAGGAAGGACTGTAAGCTGAGACATCCTGCAGGATTTTTTTAAAAGCAATTGCTAATTTTAGTATCTGATGAGTAAATACACATAATATTTCAGTATTAGTTAATCTGCAGGTTTTTAGAGTATATGTAGCAAATGCTTTTCTGTCAAGATATGTATTATAATTTCAATTGGTAAATTAGAAAATGCTTTTTCTCAAAGTGTTAGCTTTCTGTCTTCTTGAGAAAGGAGAGAAGGCACTGAATTGAATCAAGGTAAAATATAGAATATAGTTGAAAATTGTTAGAATAGCTACCTGGAGACTCATTAAATAATGTAGGAAACTGCTTAATAACATCTGATATAAATTTTCCTTGTTTCTTCAGGTGTAAGAATTGGAATGTATGTTTCTGGTCAGCTTGCCTCATTTGAGGGTAGCTGTCTGACAACACTAGGCAGTTATTTCTCATATCTCATTGTTTATCTTTGCTAAAGCATTATACATGGTATAATGGCTCATATACATGGTATTATACTGCTTTCATGTTTATTAGCTTTCATAAAAAGAGTCTCTAATACCGATCGAGTACTAAATGATTTAAGCATACTTACTCTCCATTAAGCTTGTATTAGACTGATCTTACATAAAGGAAGAATACCTTAATTTTCTGGTACAAGGAGTAGTAGTTCACTACTCTCAGGTTTTAATTGAGACTTTTTAGTAATGGTCACTTACCCTGGTGTTTAAGTCTTCCAGCAGTGTAGGTCAAATCCTTAAACAGAGACAAACTGGTGTGTTAGGATGTTCAAAACCAGTTTTCTTTCAATTGCATCTACTTTTTAAAAATATAACTCAACTTAAGAACAATTCTAAGTGCTATGTATATGTCTTTGCAGGTACTATCGTGAGGTCCTTCCTGGTGAGATTGTGAAAATATCCAGATACGATGTCCAAACGCTGGATGTTGTACCAAGACCTGAAGGAGATCCATCAGCATTCTGCATCTTTGAATATGTTTATTTTGCAAGACCAGACAGTATTTTTGAAGGTAAAAAGCTGTGAGGTATAAAGCTCCTCCCTAAGTAATGGCAGATCCTATCCTGGAGAACAAGGACTCTGGAACGTATCCGCAGTAATAGCAGACTAACACTGAATGTGAGCTTCCAGAGCAGGGCTTCCAGGTGCAGTTCGTGGGGACATAAAACTCAGGACGTATACGTAACATCAACGACGATTCCAGACTGTGTATATGGCCCTAGTGAAGTCTGTCTGCCTATGCTTATGGAAGATTGGAAAGAAGAGCCACAAAGACCATTCGTCTCTCAAAACTGAGAGACTTTAGAAACTTTTATTGCTCTTTGAAACTTTTTTAAAAAATGGACCTATGAAATAGAATTTGCAAAACAGCTTTATCTTGGTTTCCTTTGCAAGAATGCATTTATTAGTTCTGGACAGGACTTCTAAACCTATAATTCGCCACAGAGATTTATACAGCAAATTGAGAGGAAGCCTAAATTCTTTGTGTTTCTTGCTTTTTCTTAGGTCAGATGGTGTATTCAGTCAGGAAAAGGTGTGGTCAACAACTCGCCATTGAAGCACCTGTGGAAGCAGACCTGGTCAGCACTGTTCCGGAGTCTGCAACCCCAGCAGCTCTTGGTTATGCACAAAAGGTATGCCTTGTTGACTTGTATAATTAAAGTATATTAAGCTGACCTCTTTATATTAGGATATTTATGGCATGTCGCACTAGAGTGTTGTCAAAGTTTTGTATTCCCACTGAGTTATTTTCAATGGGATTATTGTCTTTATTCTGCTGCATTAGAGCACTTGAAAACTTTTCAATGCTTCTTTTCGTTAGTGTGACATCATACTAAGTCCTAAGGTTGCTTTAAAAAACAGCAACTGGGAACAGGCAGTTTTATAGGTATTAATTTTATTTAACTGTTTCCTGTTACAGTGCGGACTACCATATGTTGAAGTACTCTGTAAAAATCGATATGTAGGAAGAACTTTTATCCAGCCAAACATGAGGTTAAGGCAGCTTGGTGTTGCAAAAAAGTTTGGAGTTCTGTCTGACAACTTTAAAGGCAAGCGAGTTGTTATCATTGATGATTCAATTGTGAGAGGCAATACCATTTCACCCATAATAAAGCTGCTAAGGGAATCTGGAGCTAAAGAGGTGAGTTCACTTTCAGTCACTATAGTAGGTACAAATACAAGATCGTGGGGAGGATAAAGCACAAGCTTTTGCTTTCATTTGCACGATATGGTGTTTTCTTATTTAAAAGATTGAGTGTACAAAAATAATGGTTAGTATGTGTTTATTATGATGACACGTTGAAGTTTCTCTTTTATGACTTTGAATTTTGGGAGATGCAGACTAGAGGGGAACAGATCTTTACTTACTTACAAAGCACTATCTGATAAAGAGAATGGAAAATTGATGAAGAAAGGTGAAAAAGTCAGCCTTCAGTGTTGTATTTCTGCTGCATGTATGATTGTGGCACTGTGCTGACTTCAGCTGCTGACTGTTGTTTGCCGTAGGCAAATGCTGTTATCCTCCTGAACCCCCTGGTTCTCTTGTAACTGATTCTTTTTTGAAACAAAATGTGCAAATCTGTATCACTGGGGCAAAAAAAGTTCTGATTGGCTTTGTAGACTGGAAGCATGTGCAGCATGGATTGAAGATCATAGAAGAAAAGCAAAATCAGAATGGGATATTTTAAGGAAATACTGTAAAAATAATTATAAAAATGTCTTTATCTCTCAATGTTTTGACACTGAAAACAACTTTCTTACCTTTATTTTGCCTTTACTACCTTTTTTTACCTTTTCACATCTATATAGTGTTTTTTTTCTTCATGATTTTTTGCAGAACTGGGATGTTTTTGTCTGCTGTTGGGTTATGATCCTCTGAATTCTGCCTCACAGCAGTCTGTTCTTAAACTGTATCTTTATTCAGGTGCATATTCGTGTGGCTTCACCTCCCATAAAATTTCCTTGTTACATGGGAATAAACATTCCAACAAAAGAAGAACTCATTGCCAACAGACCTGAATTTCATGATCTTGCGAACTATATTGGTAAGTGCTGTATTTTCTGAGAGTTTTCACTTATCAAAATATCATAAAGTTGATATATTAAATCAGCACATTGTGTGCTCCTTATGTATAAAGATGATGAAAACATGGCTTATAATAGAGAGTTATAATAGTAGTTTCACCTGTAGTTTCAGCTTTAAGATGTGCATTCTCTCAGTTTGTAAATGTAAATGACTCTTACAAATTCAGAATTTATGTAAATAATTTTAGTAGCATTTCATGATATTTACTTTGAAAAATTAATTTTGAACTAGCAAAAGCAAATTAATTACATTTTTGAATCATTAGAATGAGTCATGTTTGCAGCAGGAAAAAAAATCAACAGTTTATGGTGCTTGTGATGTGATAAATACTGTGTTCTTTAGCAGACTAGCAAAAATAGAAGGTATCAAAAAAAAGATTTAATGGTGTAAGAATATCGCTGTGGTTGAAAATTTTCAGTTCAGATTTCTTCATAAATACTTTCTACTGCTTTTTAATCTGTAATGTGTTCATATTTTCTCATAAGTCATTTTCCCCAGAATGATGATCATGGTGGCATGCTGAAATGTTTTTGCTTGCCGGGATTTGACTTTTAAGAATTATACACCGAATAATTAGTGTAAGTGATAGAAAAGTAAACTCCCCTAGATACTGCACCTTGAGGGAGGGATCAAAACATTTAAAAAATGATGTATGCAGTAAGCAGTAGTCCTAGTGTTATGTTTGAGAAGCAATTTGCAAGCTTACATCTGTTTCTAGACTTGAAATAAAATATAATTGTGAAAGCTATGTGCATTTCAGAAAGTCTTAATATGCGCTCTGGGTTTTGTTTCCATTTTTACCATTGGTAAAAATGGCATCATAGTTCCCAACTTGGAAGCTCCTCCCTAGACTTGAGTGAGACTGCTCCCTGCACAAGGAACTTGGGGACAGTGCTCAGGAGTCACCCCACATCATACTCTCCATGCAATAAAGTGACTGCATTGCTTTTGGTACAGTACTGCAGGCTTCAGTTATTGAATTCTCTCTTCCCTTTAGGAGCAGACAGCGTTGTTTACCTTTCTGTGGAAGGGCTGGTATCCTCTGTGCAAGAAAGCATCAAAGCAAGGCAAGAGAGTGAGAACAACCTCAAAACACAGAAGTCACGTGCTGGAAAGATCGGTCATTGCACAGCGTGTCTGACTGGAGAGTATCCTGTAGAGCTAGAATGGTGAAATTGTAGTAGATGATCATCAGTTCATCTTCTGCTGAACAGAGATTTTTCAAAGATGCGTATTAGTTTTCCTCCATTTTAAGTAATACTTAAAGCTTATTACATCTAACTAATTACTGGTACTAAAATACATTTTTACAGACTTGCAAGAAACGTGTGGTGATGAAAAATATGTAAGCAGATTAAAATACAGAATTGTAGTTTCTGATGCACAGTTGTGCCTTCTATTTTCTCAAAAAATAATTTAAAAGCCAAAGTGTCCTTAATTACGTAGGTGCCCCAGAGATTTTTTGTCTCAGTCTTGCTCTGAAAATACGATACTCCTGTTAGACTGGTTCAAAAATACAAATCATGGGTCACGCATCATAATTTCAAATTATCAAAGTCTTAATGCAAAAGTATGTGAAGTATGCTTTACTCTTTTGGAAAAAAAAACAAAAACAACAACAACAACAAAAAAAAAAACCCCACGAAATTCTGAAATCCAATTGCTTCCTCAGCAGTTCCTGCATATTTTTCAGCCTAGCAGTACCTAACTTTTGCATATATAGCTAAGTAGTCCTTATTAACAAGTCTTTTGTAATTAGTAAGTGTCCGGATTTTACGAACATGATGTGTAGCACATGATTTTAAAAATTAAAGACTCAGGGAAATGTTCAGCCAAAAGTTCTCTAGTTTTTGTTTTCAAATTTTTTTTATTTGAAGTCCACTGTAAATTGCATTATCTTTGGGTGCTTCTACTAATTGCCAAAAGAATGTGGAAGGAATGTGGAATGCTGGGCACTGCTAGTGATTTTTATATTCTGTGTTCCATCGTGTTTTCTTCCTGATAACCCCTCAAAGTTCAGAAAGTCTGAGCTAATGCTTAGTATGTTTTTTGTTTCTTTTTGTTTTTCAATATATGTCAACCTTCAATGTAAAATCAAAACTAAAATTACCTTTCTTGCTTAACAGTAAGTATGAACCTATGTCAACTAAAAGATATGAGTTATGTTTTGAGTGTATTCTTATTTTGCTACAGTATTGCTGTCACATAACAAATATAATGTTTAAAGAAAGAGTTTAGAGGAAGCATTAGTTGTTGTTTTGCCAATTGACGGGGGCGACAGAAAGAACCAGACACCAAGGGAAAGAACGGTTGTATCATATCAAATAAGAAATGAAATGATACATCTAACAAAACAATAAGCTTATTACACGCTTGGTTTTAACAACAGACAAAGTAAGAGAGGTAATGCACCTAACCATTACTATCTAAGAAAGAGAATAGTGATTAAGAAAAAGATACATCACCAATTGCCTAAATACGTTATCATCATCCAGATCTGCAGTCGCTGAGGAGCCCGTTGCAGCGAGGATTTAGAGAACCTCCCCGGCAACTGGGAGGTCTTATGTGATGTGTCTATCCATAAGAGAGGTCTCCAAGGTCGCTGCAAGAGGGTCCAGAATGACTTGCATATTTTTGGAGCAGCAGCATCTGGTGGCAGCCTTCCCAACCACCCGAGACCACGGCTTGGCCAGAGCCCAGCTGGTGGTTAGGAAAATTCCCTGAAATACCTTGCAGACAATTACACCAGAACACGCAAGGATCTCTGAAGTGTCTGGTTTGGTGCTAAAACAGCACAACTGGTTTGCTGAGGCTGTTCTTACACGTAGCTAGCATAAGCGTCTGGGTTGCCGTTAAGACCGTTAGCGTAAGCGGAGTGGTGAGTCTGTTTGTACATAACTGCCAGAGGCGGTTTGGGATTCAGCAGTAAGTCAGCTCTGGCTCGGGCCTGTCGTCCAGGCCCTCGCGCTTCAGTTGTTGAACGCATCATATTTTTAAATTGGTCACAATTATACAATTACATGTACATGAGAAGATCACTTACACAATGAGCTGAAATTAAACAGCACGTTTAAAAAAATTTGCAAATTGACACAGCAAGTTTTTTTTATGCAGCAGATACGCACAACTGTAAAAATATTTTGTATACCTCATTTTTTTTCTCTGAATACAGCAACTTAATTTTAGATTTTGTATTTAATATTCTTTATTTCGGTCTTATGGTTGTTTGTGATTCCATTACAAAAAAAAAAAAAAGAGAGAAATATAAAGGTTTAAAAGATTTAGTTGAGAATTACAGTATTGATCATGAAGTTTAAAAGAGCTCTTTCTTAACCCAAAAAAATGGGTTTTGTAGCAACTGTAACTGATTCACAATCCCAAAACAGAAGTGCTAGTTCAAGAAAGGATGGAAATAAATTTTACTGAAACAAACACTTCAGCCTGATGCAGGTCTGCTGTGGAATCAAAACCTACCTAGAGTCAGGCTGATGGGAGAATCTAGATTTTTGTAAGAATCAGGTTGTTACCTCAATATGGGGAGATGTATGTGATCTTCTCTTTCCAGTTACTAAGTTTGTTTGTTTAACAGAATGGTTAACAGTTCATTCTGAAAATAAACTGAGCAAAAGAGAATTGAATGGAGTTGTATTCCTGAGGCTAATCAAGAAAAAGTTAAAGAAAACAGAAAGACTGTCATTAACACTTTTCCCCTTTGTCCTTCCTACCCTGAAAAAAATCAAACCTTTCACAAGGCATAAGTCAAGCTCTTGTGGTTAACTAAATACAGGTGTGAGGAGCCTTTCCTTCCCAAGATAAAAACTTACGTGCACGTTTTGCCCAAGGGTACAAGCAGAATTATCTCAAATTGTCTACAGAAGAATCTGCAAATGAAACTTGGGCAAATAATTTCTTTAGTCAAGGAGTATCAACCAAACTTATTTTTAAAGTGCAGTAATAAATGTTTAAATGTGATTCCAGCATTAGTTGCCCCAATTATGATTTTAGTAAAAAAGTTCTGCCTTTTTTTCTTCCATAATATGCGTGTGAAGTCACAAAACAGGCCTGTTACTATAAGCACTATAATTTTTAAGCACACTACATGCCTAATTTTATTATACTTAAAAAAGGAAGCTAAAGGGGAGATACTTTTCAAAGGTAACTTTATGCACTGACTGCTGAATTTATGCTTCAAGTTATTGGGCCCCATTTTATTTTTTCCTACACAGTATATGTATAATAAACCACTATCTGAAATGGAAAACTCTGAGAACTTGAAAATTTACATGAGTTTTCTTTTTAATGCATGCAATATGTATTTTGAGGGAGAAAAATCCCTCCATCTTTAGGTATCACTATTTGTGTTATTTTAATGAGACTGTCTTTCTGTGAAGCAACTTCCGCTGTGTTACTACTATCCAACTATGCTAAATTATTTTTTAAAAATGTGACAGTGGAAAGCTAACGCCTAACCTGTCCCCCGTGTACCGTTATGCAGGGGCACGATTTTGTGATTTTGGCATAACCGTGTCTTTTCACTGCGCCGCAACGCGGACCAGCGGCTCCTTGAATAAAGCAAATCCGCGCAGAGCCCTCGCGGGCGGAACGAGTCGTTTGTGCCTCGCGTTACCGGGAGTCGCGCGCCACGCTAACGGCGC